AGTGGGAGGGGAGCTGTTGCACTGTGGAAAACTGTAGTCAATGTCATGAGACAAAGTGTATGTGAGCTGCTGTATTGAAAGCGTATTTGCTCTGTAAACTTTCACCCAAATCATCATCATCATCATAATAAAGGCCATGTATTTTGTAATCCCATTTATACGAAATGCCCAGAGAAAGCAAATCTATAGAAACCAAAAGTAAATTAGTAGAGGGCTGGGACTGGGAATGAACTATAAATGGGTATCTTTTGGGGGTGATGGAAATGTTCTAAATATTGTAAAACTGGATTGCGGTGACATATAAATCATTGAAGGCTTAAAACGGATAAATTTCATGACAAGTTCTACCTCAATAAAGTTTTTTCAAAAAATTAATGTCCCAAGATAAATTTAGTAATAAACTAGTCATTCACCACACATCATTTGCAAAGCACTGCTATAAAGTGAGAATCTGGGGATCGTTTTTTATAAATAATGTGAATTTAAGTGCAGACATACCTAATGGGCTCAAGGCTTTTGGGCCAACGCTTTCTGGTTTTAGGGTATATTTCTGCTAACTGGAACTGCCAGATAAACAATCTCAAGATGCAAATTATTAAGCACATTAAGTATTTAAACTTTGCTTGTTTAGTCAATATGCGCAAAAAAAATAGGTAAAAAAATGATACAAAAACATTAAAAAGTTTAGAAATTGTTTCTCAGAATACAGAATACCCTTTTTCATATGCAAATAAACAGCTATTAAAAAAAAGCTCATATAATATTTTTCTGCTGGAATTCAAAATCATGTCCTTTTAATGAAAATATTACTTGATTATATTGAATTCCTCCAATAGAAGATCACAAAAGCAACAGATCCCGCTGCAGTCTTTCTTTTTTTTGGTCTTCTAGTCTCTTCCACTTATTCATTTGCCAGTTTTATTTTTTATTTCTATAATTTATTTTTATCCCTTGTAATTTTATTAATTAACTATTATCACTTAATTACATTTAATAGTTGGAGGCATTCAAAAGAATTTGAGAAACTGAATGACAGAAGCAGAACCACCATTCTGAAAGTGTCATCCCGTAGATTCCTACCACGAAGATTACCTCAGATAAGAACAAATAAGACTATGGCAGAGAACACTTGATACAGTAAAGTTTATTGTGTGATTTATAAAGTGCTTATACATGAAAAAATGTGGCAAGGAAAGAAAGAAAAGTTGAGCATCATACCCCTCGAGCCTAGAGGGGAATTTGATACAAGGTACTGTCGTGTTGGACCCATTACAAGAGAATTTAGATTCTAAGGTACCAAAGGCAATTAAGTGTCATGTCATGAATCTTAAGGACAATGACTAATCAGAGTAATGATGGAAAAGGAAATAGATCATGCCAAAATACACTTCCATTTTCAGTCTTGAGCTAAATAAATAAGCTTACTTAAGCTGCTGAATCCAAGGAATGATCCGTTTCATATCATCATTCACAGACTTCTCCATGTCATCGAGAGTAGCCTGGTCTATAGGACAAAGAACTTCATTAATCAGTTGTTTCCATGAGACACAAAATCATTATCGAGGTATTCCAAGACCAAAAAAATGACTTTTCTTAAAGGCAGAAAATATTGTTATTTTTGAATCAGAGAAAGGCTAAACTAAATGCATCCCTAGGTATAAATCAACCTGATTTGTTTTCCCCCTTTAACATTTGGTGAAAAAATTATAGGTAAGGTACCAGTGTACAGCAAATGTACACTGGTAGGAAGAACAAGTGACAGATACATGAATTAATTCTTTGCCTATATTTTAATTTTCAAAACTCTTAGTCTAATTAATTTTTTTAATTATCCAAAGCATTTAAAAACCGTAGCATTGCTAAACTTGGAACCTTAAACTATATAAAAACTATCAAATCTCATGTTTATTTAGTAAACACACATGATCTCTGGAATAAGCAAGAGCTGTCAGATGAAGATTAGCTCACTAAACATGCCACTTAGAGGTTTTAATGACACTAGGAAATACTCAGAATGTTGAGCAAAAAAGCAAGATATAAAATGATTTCAATAGGAAAAAGACTAGAAGCGCAAACATCTCCTAAAATAATAATGCCAATAGTGACTATTTTCTGCCTCTCTCATTTTTATATGTTTAAGTTTTTATTTTATGAGTACATACTATGTTGATAATCAGGAAAACAGTTAAATGGAAAGTTTTAAAGAACAAACAATTGCCTTGTTGGTCTGGAAACATAGTTAAAGGACAATCTGTCATTTTTTTTTTTTTGTCATTTAGTCATCATAAATGTGGTATGATTCAATAACGAGTCTAGTTTTCTAGGAGCAGCTCAGAGAAAAATCAATCTTTACAATCACACAATTTAACTAGAAAGCCTTTTATTTTAAATACTGTCTACCTTAATATTAATTTCAAATGGCAAATATGCTAATATATTCAAGAATATACGCTATCACAGCAATAAAAACTAAGGTCCTAGTGCTTCATCCTTTTAGAACTCACTAACAGAGCAAGTCAGAATTCAAACTTCCATTTCTATTGTACTTAAGCCCAAAGAGCTATTAAAATTTTCTCTCTTTATTGCAGAAAGCCTCCATCATTAGCCAGAAAAAGTTCCTTTCCTCTAGGAGTCTGTTCCCCAAGTCATCTTAGATGTTTATATTGTCATAAATATGTTCTTCAGCCATGAATAACATTAGAGCCCTTGGAATCATTTCCATGTCACCCACTACATGTGGTAAAATAGAAATTGAGCTACTGGATGAGATCTACAAAATACTAGCCATCAACATTATTATTTTAACATCAGAGAAATAACATGAATACATCTTGTATTTGGAAGTTTAACTTCTGGTACATTAAAATCCAAAAGACTACATTAAAATGGCACTCCACAGAACAGACATCAGCCAGAGTTATTCAATCCATAACTATTTTCTGTACTGCCTACTACCATTCCTTTTAATATTTAATAGCAGAAAAACTATTTTGCTTACATTATTTTTTCCCCTTATACTGAGTGACTACGTTATTTAGTAACTTACCAAGTCCATAAAGCATCAACTGGAACATTCCAGAATGCAAATCCACAAAAATATGTAGACACTCTGAACTACTGCAGGGCTCCAAGATGGGAACAACAAGAGCTGGAAGTGCAGTTTCTATGGAAGCTGAACAGTTAAGAATTAAAAACAGTATTTTTATCTGTATTTTCACCAAAAAAACTCTCTTTCTCTATGAGCAGAAATGAAGCAATTAGAGAATGATTCTAAATGTTAGAAGAAAAGCATGGTTTTGCAAAATTGGAATAGTACTATTACATAAATTAGTACCACAAAAGGAAGAATGTAATTTCCAAATTGACCTGAAATAAACATACCCCTGTCTGAATTAAGTTAGTTTTACTTTCATTTGGTAGCTTATAAGAAGTTAGTTTTTAAAGATCTTGTTTTTGATATAGTGGGAAGAAAATCAGTTGTTTGGTAAATGCAATAAATTTCATCTATGACCTGAATATTTTCATTGTCATTTAAGAGGTTTTCTGGCTATTAGGGCCCATGTGTTTCAAGGAGGAAAAAAAAAAAAAAAAACCACCTGAAAACTATTTAACTTTTTTTGTTGAATAGGGGGAGGAAAAACGTATTTTTCTCCCCAAGTCATTTGTGTACCTCATTTCCAAGTCACAGATGAGATAAAGACACAGGCAAATGCTAAAACACTTATCCCCAAAGCTGCCAATATACTAGATCTAAAGTTTCACAGTATTTCCACCAGGCCCAATTAACTCTTCCCTTAATCCCACGAGTTGGCATAACAAAAACCATGAAGGAGCAAAGCACTGAAAGCACTCCAGGTGTTGATCAGATTGAAGAGTTGTAAAAGGAGTATATTCTTCTGGTTACCAAGTTCCTCTAAAGCTATGGCACAGAATAAAAGCTGGGGGAGAGGAAGAGTGGTAATGTAGAGACAGACTTTCATCAAGTGTGACTTCTCTGTGCTACTCTGCCATACAATGACAATAACATCTTCCTGTCCATACGACCCACAGGAGAAAGATGTGGCTGTCTATTTCCTTTTATTTAGCCTTGGAAACCCTATGAGGGTCGTTCTGAGTTGAAATCAACTCAACAGCAGTGGGGTTTTTGGTTGGGTTCATACAACAGGCCATTAGGGAGAGAGAAATGACTAATGTGTGAAGATGGTTTGAAAAACAAAGTGCTATCAGTCATAAATAAAGGACAAACATTGATGATCCTGCTTATGTGAAATATCTATAATTTGGCAAATGTCTATAGACCAAAGTTTATTAGTGATTACCAGGGGTGGCAGGGAGGGGAAAAGGAGAATCATTGTTTAGGAGACACTAAGTTTCTGTTAAGGATGATGGAAAAATTTGGAAACAGAAAGTTGTGGTGGCTATACAACATGATGAACATAATCAATGTCACTGAATTGCACATGCAAAAAATGTTGAAAGATTTTGTTATATACATTTTTACTACAATTAAAAGAAGTGCTCAATGAATGTACATAGCTGCAGTGATTTATGAATCAAATAAACCAAAATCTAATTATAACATCTGTAATAATTAAAATGAATGAAGTGACCTTCCATACCGTCTATATAAAAAGAAATATTTATCAAATTAATAAAGAAAAAGAATGCAGGGGCATATTTAATCAGATAAAATTAAATTGCTTTCAATTTTATCTAATACATATTTATATACAAATATCTAACATACAGGTCCAGCAGAACTCTCACCTGCAAAAACAAAACAGAAAGGTACAAACAGGATTTCTTTTATAATATTTTATAATTCAGATGAGTGTTGAGTGCAACAAATTAGCTCAAATTAGTGATGTACTTATGGAGTTGAAGCAGGGTTGCTGGATTTTAATACATTTCTATACTATCGTAATTCTTAATGGAGTACAAAGGTATTCTGTAAAGCCAAAAACCTAAATTTCTAAAGCATAGCAATGGAGTAAAATTAGTTCTGGTAATTGGGATAATCATAATCTCAATCTAATTACCAAAAGTGAATATTCTTAAAGATAGAGCATCAGAGAAGAATATAGAGAATACAGTCTAAAACACAGAAAATATTTTGATGCATACCTATGAACGTATTTTATGACTATATTTTTCTCTACAGCAAATAAAATATAACCATTTTGGCATACGTAAGGCTCTAACCATTTAAAGGCACCAGGTTCTAAGGTATCCAAAAATGGGGACACTTATAATTAAAATATAGAAGGAGGATGTTTAGCGTAATTGGAACCCTCATACATAGCTGGTAGGATTATGAAGTGGTGCAGCAGCCTTGGAAAACACTCTAGTAGTTCTTCAAAAATTTAAACATACAGCTACCATGTGATTCAGCACTTCTACCTCTTGATATCTACCCAAGAGAAATGAAAACATGGCCACACAAAAACCTGTACCCAAATGTCTGTAGCAGCATTATTCATAATGACCTAAAAAAAATGGAGACAATCCAAATGTCCAGCAACTAATGAATGGATAAACAAAATGTGGTTTAGCCATATGATGGAACTCTACTCAACAATACAAAGGAAAATGAAATAGTGAAACATGCTACAAGGATAACCTCACAAAATTATGATAAAAACAATATGCAAAAGATCACATATTATGTGATCCCAATAACGTGAAATCCAAAATAGGCAAATCTATAGAGACAGAAAGTAGATCAGTGGTTGCCAGGGGCTGGAGGAAGAAGAAAATGGGGAGTGACTGCTAACAAGTACGAGATTCCTTCTGGAGATGATTAAAATATTCTAAAGTTAGACTGAGGAGCTCTGGTAGCATAGGCTGGCAGTTCAAAGCCACCAGCTACTCCTTGGAAGGAAGGTTGGGCAATCTACTTCCGTAGTGATACTGCCTTGGAAACCCAAGGAGGGTTGCTATGAGTCGGGTCCAACTCAACGGCACATAACAACACACGAGACTGCAGTAATGGTTGTAAAATTCTTTGAGCATTCAAAAAACACTGAATAGATGAATTATATGTGGTTATAACTTAATAAAGCTGATTATTAAAAACGAACAAAGGGGAGAGGTTGTATGCCCTTTCTAACCCCAATGAGAGTTTCAATTATACTTTCCATTCATAAATTTTAGGTTTGTACTTTACCTCTTTTGCTTGAGGGATTAAAATGGGGGGATACTTCCATTGCATGTTACAATTAAATTAAAATTATTAACAGCTGATGAATCTAATGTTAAACCCTTATGGGACTGGTAGACATGTAACACATTCACCAAATTTCTGGCATACCTTTCATTTATTTTTTTAAGGCCTACAGTGTTTTCTCTCTTAAATCAAAGCTGTTTTAACCCACAGCTACTAGTACATACCTAAGAAGCTACTTTCTTAAGTATAATGACTTGAGCTGGGTTCTGTGATGAAGAAAGGCATACCTTTGCTACCAGCACCATTAAGATTTCCATATTTATACAGCACTTCACCTACATCATCCCATTTAAAGACTGTTCACTTTAGGCACAAGGTAATCACAGCCAAAAACAGTTGGGGTGGGAAAAACAAATATGCTTATTATGAGGTTATGAAAATATAGTCCTCAAATTAAAGTGTTTCTATTCTAAATGACTGATACCCCATCCTAGCTCTAAATATACTTACTATGTACTTCAAATTAGACAAAAAAACAATTAAACTTGCTGATTCAAAAAATACCTATTTTGGTTCAAAAACAGAAAGCTAAAATGAAAAACCATAGTTAAGTAATAAAAGGAGGAGAAAAAAGAAAAAAAAGATGACTTAGTCTCCCTGACTCGGTAATTCCATTTTCAACAGTGTTTTAAAGTTTCGTAGTTATCATTCTAAATAAAAGTTGGGGACAGGGTACAAGAATACATATGTTCAGAATTGCTTATTTTGCATAACTCATCCCTGAAAGTCACATAACAAAAGTGGTTATGGGGGCGTAGGGGTGGAAAGGAGGTCTGGTGGTGTAGTGGGTAAAGCATTTGGCTGCTAACCTGAAGGTTGGCAGTTCAAAACCAACAGCCACTCTGTGCAAGGAAGATGAGATAATTTACTTCCTTCTGTGAAGATTTACAGCCTTGACAACCCAATGGGGGTCACTATGAGTCAGAATTGACTTGATGTCAGTGGATTTGGCCTTTTTTTATGTTATGAGGGTATAAAGATTTTTCACTATGTGTCTACATCTTTATTTCTTACTTTGAACCATCTTAAGGTATTACCGGGAGCTCTGGTAGCATAGTGGCTACGGCACTTGACTGCTAACCAGAAGGCTGGCGGTTCAAATCCACCAGCCACTCCTCGGAAGGAAGATGGGGCAATCTACTTCGGAAACCCAAGGAGGGGTCACTATGAGTCAGGTCTGACTTGACGGCAAACAACAACAACAACAACAAGGTATTACCAATTCAAAAAATGAAAAAAAAGTAATAATTCTGCTTCACTCAAAGGTACAGCTTATAAATTAATTATATATATTTGTAAAGCTGCTTTAACCCTAGAAGGAAAACTAAAAGAGAAAAAGATTCATGTTAAAATACCTTCCATTCCAGTAGGGCCAAAAGTTTTCAGGAGACAAAAACAATGCAAAAATGAGACCAATCTAAATAATAAAGAAAAAGGGAAAAACTAAAGCTTGGTAGATTACAAGTTAAAATGCATAAATGCCCAGCCTCTTCAACAAAACCAATATACATGTAGTCCCCGACTTATGATGTATTCAAGTTACAAGGAACCATACTTAATGACTGGTTTATTATTTTTTTTCAGTACATCTTACCATTTATAATATGTGCTACATACAGTGTTGTTGGGTGTCATTTGCTGATGTTACCATTCTCAGTTCTTCACTTGCAGATGTTCAATGTTATGATTTATAAAAATAGTAATAGTAAAAGGTATTAACAGTGAAAACTAAGGGCAGTCATGGTAACAGAACCCTGTCATAAGTCAGGGCCTACCTGTACCAAGAAAAACATCATATTAAGAAAAAACCTTTTATAAAATAAAAGTGGATACTAATTTAAACAAGACAGAAATGCCAATTTAAAAAACCTACAGTTCTCGTTGGCATTGAAGCCTCTAAGAATGGCCTTCAGTTCCTGGAGCTTCTGATGAGCCCTTGCATGGACGCTGTCAATCAAGAGTTTTTCTATTGATAAGTGATCAATCTGCATCAACAAGAAGAACAGAACCACAGGTGCAATTTAATTTAATAGCCTGAGAGATTGATGTGACTCAGTGTATTTTCTGTCAGAAGCACAGTGATTAAATGTTAACCAGTAAAAGAAAGTAAACTTAGATAAAGTTAAAAATTAACTCATATGGTACTGATAACGCCTGTAATTAACATTCTGGCCAGTATCGATCAAGATACTAAACCCGTTGTCACAGTGATTGAATGTTAGACCTTAAAAAAAAAAATAATGGTGATCTGATCTTAGTTATAAAATTTGAAAGTACATCTTAAAAATTATATTCACAGTATCAGATGGTTTAAAAAAAACACACAAATTTACAAGCATAATATTTCTTACACCAAGTATCATAAAGGATTTTAGGAACAATTAGGTATTTTAAGGAATTTGTGCTAAAACTTTATGTATAAATGTTAAGCTGTATTACATTCATTTGATCAAACCAGTATGAAAACGCTGAGATCTTTTACCTTCATAGCTCTTTCTACTAATTTGGAATCAGAAGCTGGTAAAGGAGGATCATGAAAAATCTGTAAAGGCTTAGAGACATCATTCTCATCAATTTTAATTGTAACTTTGTGAACAGATGCGGTCCCTGTTTTTCTCCCAAGAACCTGTTGACTTGAAGAGAAAAAGGAAATGTTAAAAACTTTTTGCAACATAGCCTGTTAACTTTTGGAATAAAATAAACAACCTACTGTGCATCTTGGAGTCCCTGGCTGGTGCAAATGGTTAATTCTGGGCTGCTGATCAAAGGCTGGTGGTTGAAGGCCACCCAGAGGCACCTTGAACGCCTGGGGGTCTACTTCCAAAAATTTAGCCATCATAAGCCCTATGGAGCACAGTCCTACTCTGACACACAAGGGGTCCCCATGAGTTGGAATCCACTCAGTGGCAATTTTGTTGTTATTATTATTTATTTGTTTGCTTTCACTGTGCATCTTAGCCAGAGCCTAGAACATGGTAGGCCTTCAATGTGGAGAGAATAAAATAAATCAATATTGGGAAGACAGCTATTCTGTAACCTAGCATTTACTGCATTTAAAAGAAATAGAATTTAAAAATAAAACACATGGACAACAACAACAAACAAAAAACTAAACAAAATAAACCTGTCTTCTAGATGGTATCTACCTACCTTTTATAAAAAAATGGAAAGGTCAAACAGGAATCAAGAACTGTAAACAGCCTGATACCAAGCTTCCCCAAAATGCAAAGAAAAGCATTTTGTTACACACAGCAGAGAGGCTTAGCTAATATACATTTATAAAGTAGATAACTAAAAGGGTAGAAGAGGCATAAAGATTGCTTCTCAATGCAAGGAGTGTGGGTATATAAGAAACCAAATGTTTCTAATGACACTTAAAGCAAAACTCATGGCCATCGAGTTGATTCTGACTCATAGTGACCTAATGGGACAGAGTAGAACTGCCGCTCAGGGTTTGCAAGGCTTTAACTCTTTACAGAAGCAGACTGCCTCATCGGTCTCCCATGGAGCAGCTGGTGGGTTTGAACCACCGACCTCCTGGTTAGCAGCCCACTGCTTTAATCACAGCACCATCAGAGCTCCTAATGACATTTGGGCCTGCATTAAACATGTGACATCTCTAAGCATATTCAAAAACAACACTTATTTGAACTGAAAAATAAAAAGTTTTAAAAGGTACACCTCAAAATGTAAAGCTGTGATAAACAAAAGTATTTAAAAAGGTGATACTCAACAATCTTATCTAAAGGTCTTTAAGCAATCTGGTATAAGCCCAGAATGAGCCAATCTCAAAGTTTTTAAGAATGCTAAGTCTTAGTACAAATAGACAGATGTCTAGGTATTTAAAAACATGTCACATTACAAAAAAAGGTGTCAATTACAGATATCCTATGTGGTCTATGCAATACCATGGGACCTTATTATACAAAATTGCATTAATAAAGGTACGCAGCCATTGGCATATTAAAACAGATGTATAAGAGAAACTGAAAGATGGCACATTTATAGTCATAACATGAACCCACCAGAACCAATTTTTTACTTACTTCCAAACTGAGAGGGAAAGGCACTTTCCAGCATGATACCTTTCAACCTGCACAAGGTCTCCCCACCGCTCTCGGATTAACATTAGAGTTTGGGAATGTAACACTTCTAACTGAAGTGATAAACAGAATGAATCTGATGGATCTCGTTAAGCAAATCTAACATAACATTTTATTCCAACAGTCAATTAAGTATATGCAAACTTCAATGAATAGAGGCTCTAGGCTAAGGTCCAGGTTGTCCTTTAATTCATCATAGTTTAGAGACTATGGATAGACTAAACAGTACTATTTTTAACTAACCACTTCTTGTTTTAATCTAAAAAGTCGATAGTAAAACTTAAAACTTGGTTTTTTACAGACATATCACATTATTTTCACACTGGCCAGTTCTCCATTCCCACATCCACCCAAAGAAGGGAAGGAGAGAGTCTTAAGTAGGCTGTCACAGTTCAAAACTAAAGACAAGTGGAAAACATAGGGAGAGGAGAAGACACAAAACGCTTACAAATACACATTACGAGAATGTGCCTTAAATTTTAGAAGGATACGTAAGCAGTTGTACATGTCCTGAAGAGGTTTCTCATCAGCAAAGAGCCTAGACTGCACCAACTGATGGATAAAGTTGATTTGCATACTATGAACCAAAGCTCGCCCATCTTCCATTGGCAGGAGAAAAGAAGGTGGTTAATCAGAAAGGAGCACAGATCAGGTCATAGAACCAACTAAGGAAGAGCAAACTAACAATAAATTATAAATTAATAAACAACTGAAGTGATCTATGGAAACTAGAGAACATTACACTTTGAGAAACACAAACTTGTATAGCCAGTAAGCAGTGATGATAGTCACAAAATGTGTTTCAAATTAGAGGATAAGTAAAGTGCTAAGTATATTTATTATTTTCCAAGAATGTTTCAATAATACAAAAATAACAAAACAATTCAATCAGGACAGCACTTAGGATTTACCTCCTGTTTCCTTATCCTCAACCAGAATTTCTAGCTTGAGAAGACGCCATGGAACATCAGGGTCATCTCCCATCACAGTCAAGGTGGCTTCAAATTCTCCTTCAACTCGAAACTTCACTCTGCCATTTGCTTTTTTTTTGGGGGGGGGGGAGAAAAAAAAACTATACTTTGCTAGAAAAGCAGTAGCATGCTGCTAATCTATAACTTTCAGTCTTCCTTATGAGAAATCTTAAGTAAACTGAAGGTTCTTTCCTAAGTGTCCAAACAATTCAGTGGTTCCTACATAAGCAGTGGCCAGCTTCCAGGTACCTCATCAAGAAACCAAAGGCAACTCTTCTAACATCAACAAACAGTGTTTTCTTGGGGCTCAACTTTAAGATTTCTTCTCTCCTTCAACTCCAGGTAATCTGACTTACTCAACAGCTTCAACTATCAATATTGTACTTCTAGTTACTAAAGAGAAATAATATGACTGACAATTCACAGATTCAAACACCCCTAAAATGGTAGTCAAAACTTCATGATGGTCTTTTTCAACAAAAACCCAAAAGGCTGCTTAAAAAAATTATAACAAGTCAATTCTTAAAAAAATTAATTCCTGGTACATACCAACTGTAAGATTTGCTAACTGAGGAGGGAGATCTGTGGTTACAAGTCGATGTCTAAGAATCTGGTTCAGCTGATGAAGTGTGGTTTGTTTCTCAATTTTGGTAATTGGATCAGGAGGAATGATTTTGTCCTATGAAAATATTTAAGTGATTATTTAATAATGTACAAAGAGGCATTTTTTTTAACCTGTGCTTATCTTTTTACGAATGTTTTCTTACTTTAACTAAGAGAATCTCAGCACTCGTTTCTGCAGTCCACAGCCAATACTGACCATTACTGTAGCACATTACAGAGCACCAATAACTCCATCAGTCACCTAGCTAAGATGGCAATACCACACTATCTTCTTCATGCTCCATTTATGAAACCAATTTAATATCACTAGATGCCATCTACCACTTTTAAAAGTATAAAATATATCACAATAGCACTGCATCAGTAAAAAACAACAACAATAAATTAAAAGAACACTAAATCACATTTTCACATTTGCATACCCCCCTCTGCCCCACAAAAGAAAGATTTACCCATTACCCATTTTTACAACTACTCACATTCTGGCCTCAATTTATTTTTTAAAAACTCACAATTTTACTGGAGAGAAAAAAGCAAACTACACGAAACATTGGTTTTCAACATACAAAATGGCTTTTTTTTACTAGACTATGGAATAGTACAGTAGAATCCATTGCCAAAGCTTTCAACTTTTGAGAACATGGAGGCAAAGCACTTACCCTAATGCAGGTTGGCAGCCGTGGGTAAGAGCCAGTAGTCAGTACATCAATGGCATACGGGATGGCAAAACTAGGCAGCCGCGCATGGACCAGAGCATCTCGAGCTAAAGAGGCCAGGCGATCAGCAGTGTCCACAAACAGGATGGCTTGCTGGTCTAAAAAGCTCGAGATCATCTTTAAGGCAAAAAGAGTAAATGTATTAAGCTTCCTTGAAAATGATCTGCTTTTCACTTGAAATATATATCATTTATTCATTTCAAAGTAACCTTCAAGGGAATTAATATAAATTATCTATATTTCAAATATTTCTTAAATTTTCCCAGTAATCTGAAGAAATACTACGATTTTATTTGGCATTAAAAAGCAACCATTTTCTATCACTTAAAAAAAAAAAAAGTTTACCAATTTATTTTCCCATCCTTAACATTACACATATGTAGTATCAGAAAACAGGAAAAGTAAATAGAATAAAATGCTTTTGAATATACTTTTCAGTTGGTTGGTAAAAAGCCTGAACTCTGGACCCAGACTGCCCTGGTCTCAACTTCAACTGTGCAACTTACTAGCCACATAACCTCGGGCAAGTTACTTAACCTCTGTGTGCCTCACAGTTTTTTCTACTGTGACTATGACACCCAACCCCTTAAGGCTGTTCTGAGGATTAAGAATTAATGCATACAAAACCTTTAGAATAGTGCCTAGAACGTAGAAAACACTCAATAAACGTTGCCGTTAATGAGATAGAGCCCAGCTTTATGCCTAATACAGAAATCCTTTCTATAAATTCTCTACTCAATGTATTTCATAAGGAAGTCTTGATTAGTAGAGCTCATCGCAGAGCTGAAAACTATTTCCTCGAAACCTTTATTTTCTACTTCTATTCTGGAACATTATTTGAAGTCTTTTCTCTCATGGACTTCAAACAGACAAAGCCTACCCTCCTTGTCTTCAAGCTAATTCCAAGTCACTTCATTTAGTCTTTATATCTCCAAATATTCCAAATATCACATTCCTGACTTACCATCCTTGTTTCACTGCCTGGAAATGCTCCAGTCTGTCAGGGGCCAACTTAACACATGGCACCCAGAATTAATACCACATCATGAACTCACAATGCTCTACATTTTCTCAGTATTTTCACACTCATTCTCTGACTTACTCAATGCTAGGAAACAGAACCAGATGATTTCTATCACCTTGAAGATGAGAACACTGAGGCTTAGGTCAAGATATTTGCCCAAAGACCGCTAACAACCAGAGAAGATGGAACCAAAAATTGTTTTGTCTTAGAACAGCATAGCCCAGAAGAATTCCTACCTTCAATGACTAATATAATGGATTTCAATCAATGCCACTAACTTTTTATTAGCAGCCATAATACTGCTACCACACAGCAAGCTTGAGGTCAAGGTCTTGATCTTTTGTACATAATCTCTATCAAGTGAGGTCCCCTACACCCTGAACCTAAAGCAGGACTGCAATGTGATGTCAACATAATTAAACCATTTTGAGGCCAGCTTCTCTCCACTTCTGAACTGGATTTTACTCAGACTTAGGTCATCCCAAGCCTCCCTTCACAGGACACTGTAAAAATGTGTATCAGACCAAAAGCAAGGCCAAAGAGCACCAAAGACCATCATCTAGTAAGACATGCATGAACTCTAATAGGATGTCACAGTTTATCTAGCCCACAGTGCTCCAACTCAAACATGGATAAGTAATGAAACGCTCTCAAACTACCTTGCTGAATACAAAATATACTAGCTTCAAGTTACATTCTTTTGATTTAGAAAGCCAATTAAACAGACAAAAATGTAGTACTGAGTAACTTATTATTGAATCCATGTAGGTCCTAATGATCATCATGCTCTTTTTACTGAAGTACTCACATACCAGCTGCTAATATGGTTAATAATAATCTCCTTTAGAATTTAACTGAGCCCTGAATATTCATTTCTCCAAAGAAGATACACAAATAGCCAATAAGCACATGAAAGTAAATTCAACATCATTAGTCATCAGGGAAATGCAAATCAAAATCTCATGATACCACATCACACCCACTAGAATGGCTAGAATCAAAAAATCAAATATCAAGGGTTGACATGGATGTGGAGTAATCTGAACCCTCATATATTGCTGGTGGGAGTAGAAAATGGTGTAGCCAAATTGGCAAACAGGCTGGCAGTTCCTCAGACAATTAAACATAGAGTTACCATATGACTCAACAATTCCACTCCTACATAAATACCCAAGAAAAGTGAAAACATATGTCCACACAAAAAGTTGTATGTAAATGTTTATACAGCAACATTATTCATAACCAAAGGTGAAAACAACTCAAATGTCCAACAACTGATGAATAAACAGTATTTCTATGCAATGAAATATTATTCGCTTATAAAAAAAAGGCACATATTATGCGATTGCATTTATATGAAATATTCAAAATAGGCAATATAGAGACAGTATTAGGAGTCTGGTGGCACAGTACCTAAGGCATTTGACTGCTAACCAGAAGGCTGGCAGTTCAAACCCACCAGCCACTCCTCGGAAGGAAGATTGGGCAAGCTACTTCCATAGTGATAACATCTCGGAAACCCAAGGAGGAGTCACTATGAGTCATGATCGACTCGACAGAAGTGAGTTTGGTTTTAGTTTTGTGTTTTATTATAGACAACGTTCAGAATAGACAATATAGAGACAGAAAGTAAATTAGTTGTTGCTTAGGGGTGGGGGAATAATAGCTAAAGGGTATGGAGTTTCTTTCTGTGGTGATGAAAATGTTCTAAAACTTACTGAGGTTTTGCTTAGCACTTATCTGGGAATATTCTAAAATCCACTGGATTACACACTTTAAATGAATAAACTGTATGGTATGTGAAATATATCTCCATAAGCTGTATTTAAAAAATAAAAAACCCTAGGAGAATGAGAAAGAGCTTTTCCTCAGATAAAACATTACCCAGACTGCTTTATCATTAGTCAGCATTCTGTAAGCTGTGGATTTACATACTCAGCTACACATGTCATTTATGTTTGTCTTTGTTAAAGATTATTATCTAAGAACCTCTAACGAGACTAGTTAAATAATAACTAGACTGAGAACAGAAGTATCAAAAATATGTACAAATCCTCCAATGAGACTAGTTAAATAGTAACTAGACTGAGAACAGAAGTAACAAAAATATGTACAAATCCTCTAATTATCCAGTTGATGGCCTTTTATCTGTGATATAAACACATCCATGTCTACCTTCATCAAAAACAAAAATACTGTAACTTTAGACTAGTGCAATATGGAATTTTATTCAGAATATTATTTAAACAACCAATTTAGAAAATGAACAGATGATTGCTATACTCCAACGTTTTTTTTTTTTAACTTTTTATTGTGATTTGGGTGAAAATTTACAGAGCAGATTCGTCTTCCATTCAACAGTTCATACACATTTTGTTTCATGACTATACCATGAATTAAAGAAAGATAAATGCAATATGGTTCAATATCAGAACCAAGAGTTGTTGTTTTTTTTTTTTTTTTTGATACTACATCACCAAAGCACAACTCAGTGCTATCAAACAGGCAATTTAAATGCCCACAGTATAATCAGGGATTTACCAACAGGTTTGAAAGGCTAAACACCTGGCTTTGATATACTTCAGCAATGACTAACTTTTCACTAAAAGTTTGAGCATCTTTAATAAAATACTACCCCAAATTAACTAATCATTGAAAAGAAACCTTGAGCTTTTCAGAAATACTATACTGTACATCTTCATTTCAGCCAAAACAGACTCGTTAGACTCAGTGCCTAAATTTCAAGGACACTGAATTTTAAGCTTTCTGATATATAAGCTTGGAATAAACCTATTTATTAATATTTATATCTATTCTTTGAACAATGCTTAACAGTGTATGTTTTGGTTACCTCTACTGCTGCTCTAACAGAAAATATATCGCACAAAATATAAACAGGAGCTTATTCTCTTACAATTTAAGAGGCTAGAAGTCTGACTTCAAAGTGTCAGCTCTAGGGGCTGGGTGAAGGCTCCTCAACCTTGGGCTTCGGCTCTGCCTCTTACTCCCAGCCCACTGGAGCCGGAGGCATTTCTTCACTCAGGCAGCAGCTGGCTGCTGAGGCTGACAAACCAAATGTTGACAAACAAAATGGCACAGTCCCAATATTACCAAACAACCCGGAAGGCCACTAGTTCAAGTCCAGAGATAGTCCCAAGATAGCCAAGAAACATGGCAAGCTGCTAAACGAAGACTCGGCTACATGTAGGGTCCAAGCATGCCAAAAAGTTGTAGACCATTCCCAAAGCTTCTCCTTGTATACTAGATTTAGACCACATCCCTAAAGCAGATACTCAGCTGCTCACAGTAGATTCCACCATGGAGTTGACTGCCAGTCTCATCATGGGAAATAACTACAACCAGCTGCCCAGCCACTCAAAACCAGGCCCAGCCAAGATGACACATAACCTTAACTACCACAGTGTACAAAGACATTGGACACAGATGAATAAAAGGAGGCATCCATTTTTTTTGGCACAGGGAAAATTTAATATATGGTACAAAATGTTCTACCCATAAATAGACCTTTTATCAATGCTATATAGATGGATGATATCAGCTTACTCCTACAGACAAAAGACACATGGCTGGATGGGTCTTACAGAATTCTTCCAGCCTTGCCATTTTTAGCTGCATCACTTTCACTGAAAATCAGGCTTTGTTTTTAAGTTTCAAAGGAAAAAAAGGCGGGGGGAGCACTATTGAAGCAGAATTAATCAATGCAGTGGGCTAAAACTGAGATGTCAGGAAAATCACAAGGATTTACAGGAACACAACCGTGTTGTAGATCCCTTTCTGAAGTGAAATTTTATGGAATGGGCACATCCCCATAGATCTGTACAAATCAAAATTACTGTAAAAATATTTTCAATTTTGTCAGGGTATTAAAAATAAATTAATTATGGTACTTTTATACTAGGTAGCTGCTAACTTTCTCTAGGAAGCTTGATAAACTTAAGAAAATTTATGAATGATTTGAATATACAAGTAGTCTGTGACTTACGAAGACATATTCGAGTTACAACAAACTGCACCTAGGACTGACATTGTACCTGGAACACTGCATCTTCCTGGGAGGATGTTGTTTGCCATCGAGTTGGACCCGACTCATAGCAACCCCTCCTTGGGTTTCCAAGGCGGTATCACTACAGAAGTAGATTGCCCAACCTTCCTTCCAAGGAGCGGCTGGTGGGTTTGAAGCACCAGCCTTCTGGTTAGCAGTCAAGTGCCTTAGGCACTATGCTACCAATAGTTATAGGAAAATGGAACATGGAAAAAAGTGCTGAGTTATGTGAACATGCCCCAAGCATCTGATCAGGATAAAATGATAGAAGAGATGAGTGGAAAAATAGTCCTTATGGCAAGAACAATGAATTTGGAACCTGATATTGCTGATAAGGAATAGCTCATATATCATAAAGAATGGGAGCTTACAAATTAGGACTTAATGAATTTTGAAGAGGAAAGAAATAACGAGGAGGAGGAAGGAGAGACGTCAGAAAATTTTACAGTGAAATAATTAGCTAGAGTTTTTTTTTTTCTAAACTAAATCAGGGGCTTTAGCTGCTTGAAAATATAGACTCAAATGCTGATTGCTTTGCTAAAGTTGATAGGCAGATTCGGAAAGCAGTGAGATGTTACCAAGAAACATATAAAGAAAAAAAGAAAATGACTGTACAGACTATTTTTCTGATTAGAAATGCCATCCCCATTCCCAGGGATAATCCAGATGATCCAGAACTTTCCACAGGTGGAGTTGTTATTACTGCAACTGATAAAATGCCAATGTAATGCAACTCCTCTTCATCACTGGAGTAAATTTTTACGATTTGGATATATTTTTTTATATATGTATATATTATATTTCCATAAATTTCTATGTAATGTTTCCAACCTCAAAGACAAATAAAGACTGGATTTATAAAGATGCTGATAATAAAAGCCAATAATACTGAACACTAATAAATAAATAAAAACTAAGTATTCAACTTATGTCAGAACCAACTTATGACGGAGTCATCAGAATAGAACCCCATTGTAAGCCGGGGACTATCTGTAATTTGGGAGCTCTGGTAGTGTAGTGCCTAAGGCATTTGACTGGTAACTAGAAGGCTGGTGGTTCAAATCCACCAGCCACTCCTTGGAAGGAAGGTTGGGCAATCTACTTCTGACCCCAAGGAGAGGTCGCTATGAGTCGGGTCCAACTCGACGGCACTTTGGTGGTATCTGTAATTTACTTGACTAAGGTAAAGTTGTTTTTCTGCTTTAAGCTATGAAAACTGATAAAAATTTCTAAACATGATTACATAATTGGGGGGTTAACTAAGCATCCATTTCATACTTCCTGAGAGAATCCACTTACTTTCCTCTACTTCCCAAAAATATTTTACAATGGCTAGAAGTCTTAGGAGCTTTGGTAGCATAGTGCCAGACTGCTGACCAGAAGTCTGGCGGTTCAAACCCACCAGCCACTCCTCAGAAGGAAGGTTGGGCAATCTAATTCCATAGTAATACTGTCTTGGAAACCCAAGGAGGGGTTGCTATGAGTCGGGTCCGACTCGATGGCACATAACAACAACAGAAGTTCTCTTGGCCTTTTAGAGCTGAGTCTGGAGAACTGACTTCAAGTAAATTGGATAAATTAAAGTCATTATTTCAAGATTTTATTCATTCTATGATAATTATTCTACCCTTTCTAGTATGAAATCCATATTCCTCATTAAAAGTACTCAAGTAAAACATGAGTGAATCGTGCGTCTCATCTTTTAACACACCATCCTCCCCCAAGTCATGAACTCAATAAGCTAACACAAGATATCCTACTGATTTTTCTTCCTCTTTAATGCTTCTTCAACACAGCTAAAGCACCTCTTTTTTGGGGAGGGGGTAGGTTTTAACATCTTTGGTATACTTCACATCAATCTTTTGAATTCAAATGAGTGATTCAAAGGTCAAAAGATCTTGAGCTCCTTGTGAGCAAGGACTTTGCCTTATTTGTCTCCATGTTTCATACTTTATGTCCCGTGGTCAAGAAAGGTTTGGAGAATGAGGGATGAACAGATGAACAGATAAATGCTGTTATCAACTGTGTGACTTTGAGAAAGCCATTTAACTTCTAGGAACCTTATCATTTCCTCATTTGTAAAACAGGAAAATAGCTACTCTGCCATTCTCATAGGGTTGTCAAGAATAAATAAGCAAAATATAAGGGAATAATCTGTAAACTTTAAGGAACCATACATATTAGTATTTGTTTATAGACACCTGGTCAGAAAGAATGGGAGCTGTCTGGAGATAGTGGTTGTTCTGGGAGACTTTAAATATGGGACTTGAATTAAAGGAGGAAAATAGTTATCTTGCATTTGTATGGTTCCTTAAAGGGTTAGGGTTAGGATTAGGGGAGCTCTGGTAGCATAGTGGCTGAAGCACTTGACTGCTAACCAGAAGGCTGGTGGTTCAAACCCACCAGCCACTCCTTGGAAGGAAGATGGGGCAATCTACTTCCATAGTGACACTGCCTTGGAAACCCAAGGAGGGGTCGCTATGAGTCGGGTCCGACTCGCCAGCACATAACAACAATAACAATAATACTCACATAAGTAATATTCTCAAAACTGTAAGCTAACATTCTAAAATGTTATTTTATACAAAATAAAAGCAGAAGATTAACTCACCGCACATTTTTCCACTTTGCCAGCATTATTAGCCCATTTTACTAAAGCTAATAATCGAACGAAGAGTTGGCGTGTTCGGCTAGCAAACTGTACTATTTCTATTTTCCTATAAAATAAAACAATTGTTAATGAACCAGAATACCAGAAAGACTATTTTACAATTCATTTTACCTGAGCTCAAAAGTGAATTCATCTTCGTTTAAAACCACTACAACAAAATGAACCAATTATACTTATCTAAATATGATTTATTTTCAATTTTTGCATACTATCTGGATATGCTTTATTTTTCACCTGAATAATAAAATTAATAAATCTAATAAATAAATCCAAAATATTTAGCAATGAGTCACATTTTTTAATTAATTTTATATTGTAATAAAAGTTATTTACTAAAATATTCCAATTTCATGTATATGTGGAAATACCATTTAACTGAGTGACAGTTGGGACCAAACTTAGGAGTTACGAATTAGATAGATATAACCTTGTTGGTAAGGAGGGAACTAAAGTAAATATTTACCAAAACTTGAAACTATATTTTTTACAAAAGCAAAGGCCATTTTCCATCTTACAAGAGTATGATTTAAAAAGTTGAAAAATCAGAGAACTTAACCATGACAACTCCTAACCCAACTAATTCCAATGACAAATTAGGAGATGTTAAATTTTCCAAGCAAAGTTTAAAAAAAAAAAAAAAGTAAGTTGATATTAAAAATAAAAGCTAAAAAAAAATAAATAAAAGCTGCTGTTAGCTGCCAGAGTGATTAAGTGGATTATGACTCATAGCAACCCCGTGTGTACCGAGTAGAACTACTCTGCAGGGTTTTCACGGGTTTTCAGAAGCAGATAACCAGGCCCATCTTCTGAAGATAACTCAGGGTGGGCTCAAACCACAAACCTTTCATCTAGGAGTCAAGCACTTAACCATTTATGCCTCCCAGAGGTTCTAAAATCAAAAGCTCGAGGCTCCTTATCTATGTTGTTATTATTATGTGCTGTCCAGTTGGACCCACTCATAGCAACCCCTCCTTGGGTTTCTGAGGCAGTATCACTAAGGAAGTAGATTGCCCAACCTTCCTTCCAAGGAGTGGCAGGTGGGTTTGAACCGCCAGCCTTCTGGTTAGCAGTCAAGTGCCTTAGGCACTACGCCACCAGGGCTCCTTTCCTTATCTATATTTATGCCATATCCACTACAATGCTTTCTCTCCTAATACTCATCAGTATTTTCATCATCTCCTCATTAAGCCATAAAAATGTTATTAAAAGCTTTATTCTGCCAACTCATGTGTTAGCTGGACCTCTCCACTTCACGTCATCTACAAAATTTATAATCCTAATTTTCATGATCCTAACAACAGGACCCAGCAAAACACCAATCTCCCTCCAAGTGGACCCTGAGGTATGGCTGCTCAATGACATACAGAGCTGAGCCGCCTCCCTGCATCTCCCAATAGCAACACCATCATGCACTGCACCAAAATAAAAGTTTTTGTTGACACATCATCCTGACTGAAAACTAGAGTCCAGCTCCTACTGAGAACATATGTACCCCATAAAGGCTACATATTTATCAGCCAGCAACATAGCCAGTGGTACTATAAAGAGAAAAGTCAAGGACACAGATCAAACTATGACTCTTTACCAGTGTCTATGAAGTATCTTAAGAGATAAACAAGCAGGGCATCACAGGCAAGACTGAGATACAGCAAAAATGTTAAATGTACATTAAGATCTGGCAGCCACTTTAGTACTATCACTCTAACTCAGCAGCGTCTTACAGAGGATCCAAAGCCTTTGCTCCTTACCCAGAGCAAACATACTTGTGATACTATTAACTTGGTTTCTCAAAGGGGACATCTCCCTTTGTAAACTATTATATCATGGTTTTCTAAGACCAAACTCTCTCCAGTAGGCAGCATGAGTCAGTTTTCCAAAGGCCTGGATTCCCACTCTACCCCAGAGTAAACAGAACAAATCCTATCACTTCCTTCCTTTAAAACTGACCAACCCAATCATAACACAGGTATGCCCCATTTGTCTCGTCCACCTCTACATTTTCAATCTATGTCTGATCTATCAAACAGATCAAATGTGGGGGGATGGGCTGGGGGTGGGAAGGAGCCCTGGTGGTGCAGTGGTTAAGCGCTCTGCTAACCAAAAAGTTGGTGATTTAAACTCACCAGCCACCAGCCACTCAGCAGGAGAAAGACGTGGCAGTGTGCTTTCATAAAGATTACAGCCTTGGAAACCTATGGGGCAGTTCTACTCCGTCCTATAGGAGCACTGTGAGTCAGCATCTACTCGAAGGCAACAGGGTTTTTTTAGGGTGGTGGTGGATTGTAGCCATTAATAAATGTTGAAAAGCTCCCTAGTGACTTGATATTTTAAAAAAAGGAAAGAAAGAAAGCACAGCCAAGAAACAAAGATATAATCCACCAGCTATCCTAGAGTCACAACTGAAATTTCCATCACATGATTTCCTTGAAACCTTCAGTTCCCTTGTTCCTTTGGCCTATGTAAACATTCTTCTGTTGTTGCTGTGTGTCACTGAGTCGATTCTAACTCATAGTGACCCTATAGAGCCTCATGGGGTTTCCTAGACTAGTTATCTTTACAAGAGCAGATCACCAGGTCTTCTGCAGAGCAGCTGGTAGGTATGAATAGCAGCTGAGCACTTAACCACTGCACCACCAGGGCTTGTTACGGAAACATACTAGTGTTTAGTAATGTCTTCAACTCCAAATTGCTACAGAACCAAAATGCTCTCAACTACAGAACAGCAACAATTGTAGATAAATGTTACTTTTCTGAAGATACCTAATAGCATCATTGTAGCAAATTATAAATTAACAGCCAACTTTCTAAGCCAGCCTGCTTGTCAGCTTCTTTCATTCAGGACCTTGTGGTCTGTATCTTCTTCTACCACCTCACCACCCTGAACTGGACCTGGTCAGTGATACAATAAAGGTTTGTAAAATAGCAAGTCCAGAGCTGGTCTCACACCAAGTATTTCCAAGGATAAATCACATTTCCCAGAGAGAGATGTAAGGTTTTTTCATACTCACCTTTCCACATCAGATTTCCGTGGCAGTCTAAGAGGGGAAAAAAAAAAGAAAATTGATTAAATATATATATATGTACCTTCACCAAAGGTAATAATAAGAGTCTTTACTGTGACTCTATTAAATATTTTAGTGTTTCAGAAAAACTGGGCAAACAACTATTACAGGTTTGGTGGCTATCTACTTTATTTTTATGTGTTTCCAGCAATATGGCTGTAAGTGAAAAACCAACAAAGGAAAGTTTCTCTCCATTGAGAATACTTCAAAAGAATCTGCATGAACCTCAAACACCTAAAAAGCCAAAGTCTTACATTAGCACACTGCATCATAGAGAGTCAAAATGGTCTCAGATGCAGGGGTCCTAATCAGTTGTCAGTCTTACTGCATCCAAGGGAACTCTGGCAAAAGCAGAAACTAAGCACACAAACAGGCCAGTGTCAATCAAGGGATTTATAGTCATCATGATGTTGCATAGTGGTTAGATGTAAGTGATTTGTACTACTTTTAAATAGCTCCCCTAAGGTTTTGATTTCTGTCCTTTTCTCTAGTTTCTCCAGTACTGACTGCCAACAATCAATGTCACCATTTTCCCTGACAAATTATACCATTTAACACTCACTGATACTTAGGAAGGTCTTGATCTGTTAACCTCTATCCTGTGGCCCAAGTCAATGGTCTGAATAACTCTCATACCTCCTCACATCTAATCCGTTTTTGAAGAATACCTGTGTAGCTGCTTAGATCCCCTGCTCCCACCCACAAGCTAAAGGAATAGAAAAACTAAAAACACTTCCAGAGGCGGTAGCAGGAGGGAAAAACTATTAAAATGGGCTTTGCTTATAGTTACCTGCAAGTTTTAAGGAACACAGAGGGCTAGAAGCTGAAGCTATGATAAGAGTAATAAAGGAAACTAAGTAGGGTCTGGGAGGACCAGCAAATCAGAGGAATGGAGGAGAAATTCAGGTCACATTATAAAACTGCAAATAATAGCGCCACTGGCAAGTTCCTCTGCATGCAAAAGCCCCTGAGAAAATACTCCTTCAGAAGCCACAGCCCTTGTCCTCAAGAGAGGGAAAGGATGACGTGCACACCCAAACAAACAGAAGAGCAGAGCTTTTGGGAACAGGCATCACTGCTCCAGCTTTTCCCATCTGCCCTCACCAAAAAAAAAAAAAAAAAACCCTACTGCCGACAAGTTGATTTCGACTCACAGTGACCCTACAGGACAGAGTAGAACTGTCCCATAGAGCTGTACATCTTTATGGAAGCAGACTGCCACACCCTTCCCCCACGGAGCAGCTGGTGGGTTAGGTTGGCAGCCCAGTGCTTAACCACTGTGCAACGAGAGCTCCTCTTTACCTGCCCCAGAAACTCGCAAATAGGCTCCTCTCGTGTCAGATGTAGTATCATTTCAGGGACAAAGGCTTTGCTGCCCGCCTTCTCTTTTTCTTACTTTCTCCCAATCTACCTGAAATTCCTTTATGGGTAACAAATCTTAAATCCCATCATTTTGCAGTAAAAGCCCTAAAGTATAAATGTTTGGAAGAAGGCACTGAAACTTATTTATATCAAAGTGCAGTAAGTCTATATGATTGAGATAATGGCATTTTCTGACCCACCAGCCACTCCTCAGAAGGAAGGTTGAGCAATCTAGTTCCGTAGTGATACCGCCTCGGAAACCCAAGGAGGGGTCGCTATGAGTCAGGGCCGACTTGACGGCACATAACAACAACAACAACAACAACAACAATTTTAAAAAGTTAAAAAAAAAAAAAGAAAGAAAGAAGGGGCGTAAAATGGTACAGCCACCGTGGAAAATAGTTCAGTGATTCCTCAAAAAGCTGAACATGGAATTTATGTTAAAGGTGGTGCATAATTCAGGAAAAAAATGGCAAAAAAGGTTGTGTAACTTGAAGAATGTAATGAGTGTCACCGAATTATACATGAAGAAATTGTGGAACTGGTGTGTGCTTTGCTGTGTGTATTTTCAGCACAATTTTTTTTAATTTCTGAATAAATGCCCCTTTGAAAACTAAATACAAAGGTTTTTTTTAAAAAAGTAGAATCTTAGTCTCTCAAAAATCAAGATAGAGTTTAAACTCTAGGATGAAAGTATGCAAGCGAGAGGAAAGGGAGAATGGACAATTTGGGAGCCAAATACAAAGCAAATATATTGTCAAGGCTGTCCTTTTTACCTTCAATAATTCACAGACAAGCATAAAATGTGGCAGAAATAAGTAACCTTATCTCTTAAGACTCTTATAAAGCATACCTAGAAAACTGGTTATACATCAGTACTAACAGTTCCTACCTGAAACGAGGAAAAATAAGCTATTTAGGAATTTTCAAGGTAAATTCTTTAACTTTGGTTACCACAAATTTAAAAAGAAGTTATTTTATATGCTTAAGTATCAAAGAGAAACAGTGACGTTACCCATTAAATTAGCCATGGTCTACAATGAAAATTCTAAAAATTCAATCATTCCTTCAATCAATCAGTAAATGTTTAGTTAAAAAAGAGAACAGTTGCCATGGAACTGACTCTGACTCATGGTGACCCCATGTGTGTCACAGTAAAACTGCCCTCCATTGGGTTTTCATGGTTGTGACCCTTCAGGAGATCACCAGGCCTTTCTTGTGAGGCACGCGCCTCTGGAAAAAACAAAAACTTAACTCGTTGCCATCCAGTCATTTCCGACTCATAGCGACCTCCATTAGGTTTCCCAGGTGGTAAATCTTTACAGAAGTAGATTGCCCCATTTTCCTTCCACGAAGCAGCTGGCAGGTTTGAACCAGCAACCTTCTGGTTAGCAGTCATATGCCTTAGGCACTGAGCCACCAGACCTTCCTGGGGTGGGTTCCAATCACCAACCTTTTTGGGTAGCAGCCCAGTGCCTAACCATTTGTGCTGCCCAAAGACTCCAAAATATTTAGATAAGTCCCAACTATGTGCCAGGCATTGTTCTAGGCCCTGAGGAAAGTAGTAACCAAATCAAAATCCCTGTCCTCATGGAGTTTCCATTCCAGGGGGGAGGGGGGACAGATGCGAAACTAATAATGCAGGTGGCAATAAGTGCTGTAGAGAAAAATAAAGCAGCACTATGAAAACGATTATGTGAAAGCTCAGAGTACTATTTTATTCAGGGTGGTCAGTCTTTCTGATAAGTGGTTTCTGAATAAAGACCTAAAAGGAACTACAAAGCAAAGCACACAGATTTCCCAGCCTAAGGTGGGAGTGTGCTTGGCATCATCAAGAAACATCAAGAAGGGTAGTGTGGCTGGAGTGGACTAAGCAAGGGGGAGAGTGTTAGAAAATGAAGTGAAAAAGGTAAGAAAGAGAAGGCAAAGATCTTGTTCTTGTTGTTGTTGTTATGTGCTGTCGAGTCGGCCCCGACTCATAGCAACCCCTCCTTGGGTTTCCGAGGCAGTATCACTACGGAAGTAGGATTGCCCGACCTTCCTTCCGAGGAGTGGCTGGTGCGTTTGAACCGCCAGCCTTCTGGTTAGCAGTCAAGTGCTTTAGCCACTATGCTACCATCTTGTAGGCCCTCAAATATAAGGTGACCACATGTCCTGGTTTGTCCAAGATCGTCCTAGTTAATAATACCTGCTATTCCAACATTATTATTAACAGCACCGCCTATTCACATTCAAAAGTGTCCTGGCTTGAACAGTACATTTTATGGTCACTTATTTTAGAGAGTTATAAAAGCTTTGTAATCTAAGTGAGACGGGAAACCATTGGTGGGTTCTGAACAGATAGGTTTTAAAAGGATCACCCTATTTTACAGAAAAGAAACTGTAGAGGGGCAAGAGTAGCAGAAGCGGTAACAGTGGGGAGACTACTGCAGTGACGTGCGTGAAGGATAAAGTGGCTTGGGATCAGATTGGCAATGGTGGAAGTGATGTGATTCTGGATATATCCTAAAGTCAGACCTGACAGGACTTGCTTGTGGTAGACTGGATGTGGGATGTCAAAACAGGGGAGCCAAGAATGACTCCAAAGATACTATTTAGCGAGAAAGGCAGATAGGAAAGGTTTGGAGGGATTGAGGGGAATCGGGAGTTTGGCTTTAGACTTGGTACATTGAAATGCTCCTTAGATACTAAAATTTAAGCATCTGGATATATTCTGGAGTTCAGTGGGGAAGTCTGTGCTGCAGATTCCAATATGGGAATCATTATCGTATGATAGGTGTGGGACTCTAACTACACTTGTATTCCAAGGCAATAAAACATGCTTCTCTATATATCAAGTCCTAAAATAATAAAAAAGAAATGCTTAGGAATACAATGTAAGTCAAAGAATGTCTAAAAATTCCCTATGAAAAAATAAGTTACACAACCACTGAGCAATTCTCAACATTTTTTCCACAGCTATACATAAGACAGATGAGCTTCACATACCTGACACTTTCTCATGGATACTCTTGGATGTTTATGATTTTTATGCAACTCAACAATAAATGCTGCACAGTAAGCTACTACATGACTATTTACGTTTCTCTCTGGGTGAGGGTTTGTTGTTGGGAACCTGTGTGTGCAGAGCAGAACTGCTCCACAGGGTTTTCAAGGCTGCGACCTTTCAGAAGCAGACTGCCAGGCTTGTCTTTCACGGCAACTCTGGGTGGGTTTGAACCGACAATCTTTTGGCTAGTAGTCGAGCACTTAACCGTATGCACCATCTAGGGACTCCTTAGACCGGGAGGCTTCTTTAACACCACCTCTTTCTGTCCCATTCAATAAAGTACAATATATCAAAACTGAATGAGAGTGATGCTCTATAGGAATAAATGCAACCTATTCTAATCCTTGGGAGCTCTGCTGGCGTGGTGCCTAAGGCATCTGACTGCTAACCAGAAGGAAGGTTGGGCAATCTACTTCCCATACCGCCGCAGAAACCTAAGGAGGGGTCACTATGAGTCTGGTACGACTCCTCACAGCGCGTTTGGTTTGGTATTCTAATCCTTCAGTCATTTACATACAAACATTTTAAGTCTCCAGTAACAAATTACTCTGTTAAACTTCACAGCCTACTATCTATACACTAATGTATTTCCATTGAAAACACTGATTACAATCTAGCAATAGATAAAAGATAAAAACTAAATTACTAATTTTTGAGAGTTTTTCTGAACCTGTTATTAAATGTAAAACAGAAATAAAAGTATATGACCCAAAATTCGATACTCCCTTTTCTTTACACATTTAAACATCATTACAGGGCATTCCTATGCTATTCTGAAAAAATAAATATCCTACTCATATTCAAAGCATTTCATGAGTAACACAGTGATTTATAAACTTCCTTCATACGTCAATAAATAACTGCATCAAGTCGGTTACCAAAACTAAAATCTTTTACTTAAACTAAATTCGTGAAAACGTTTCAGAAAAACTACTTGGAATCAACATTTTGGATTATTTTATACACACCCTATCTCTTGCGTTCAAACTTAGTCACAATTGCAACCTGTATTTAAAATATATTGTCAAGAGGCTGTAAAACATATTTCCCGTCTTAGGGATTTTATTTTAAAGCTCGAGTATTACGTATTCCTAAACGCTGAACTGTAATGTTGGGTTTGGGGCTAAAAGGCTTCCAGGAAAGAAATGCTGGCAACTCGAGCAAAAATCCCAAAGATAATCTTCAGTGAACGTCTAACACGCCTAACGAACAAGTCTCGACTTCTTCATCATCAGAAAGACCCCAAAACACGAAGATTCTATTCCACCTCCGCTGCACCCCAAAAGCTCATAAATTCTAGACTAAGTAGCCTGCAGAAGAAAACAGCAGCCTCTCAGCAATTGGGCGGGAAAGGAGGGGGACTGGGGAAGCAGGCATGGGTTTCGCGGCACTTACAGATCCGTCAACACCATGAGCTCCGAGTAGGCCCGGTGGAGCAAAAATTCGATGAGGCTGCTGAGCCGGTAGCCAGGGCTGGCCGCGGCCGCAGCAGCCGCCGCCACGGCTGCTCCCGGGGGAGGAGGCGCCGGGGCTGACGCTGGGCCGCCGCTGCCCCCGCCTCCGGGCGGGACCAGCTGGTGGTTCTCCAGCTGCACCGGGGCCATGGCAGCGCAGGATCGGGACTAGCGCAGCGGCACAAGATGCGGCTCTCGAGCGTTCGCTCACCGCGCCAAAGGGGGCAAGAGCAGAGTCTTCACCGCCTACCGCCGAGCCGCCTCCGAACAGGAAGCAGTGCGCGGGCCGCGGAGGCCCGCCCCCATGAAGCGACTAGCCTGGACTCCAAGGACTGGAGCGGGGAGAGCGGGGAGGGCGGAGAGTTGGGGGGATCGAGGAAGCAGAGGGCTGCGGCCGATGAAAAGCTGCGCCTCTGCAACCGATCAGAAGCTGCTTTGCCAGGCATCCACAGCACCCATGTTGACTGCCCCCAGCGGAAGTCCTTAGGCAGAGCGGAAGAAGAACCTGCAGGGAGACTTCCGACAGCAACCTGTGCCTGTTCTCGCAGCTCTCCAAAGCTGGGGTGTTTAGGGGCGCGTGGGAGCGGGGCGGGGTCTGGCGCTCGGGCGGGAAGGAAGGAAGCCCGGGCCGTGCGTCGCCGGAAGCCGGCGTGGGGGCGGAGCCACATTCGTCATCGTGACGTCAGGACGTCACTACTCGGCATTAACCCTCACTCAGTGGGCTTTTAAAGGTGGCAACTTGCCCAGAGCCGCTCCTCAAGTGTGATACTTAATATGGCTTGAGGGGCCCCTGTCTAGATGTTGGAGAGTTGTGGTCCTGGCAGCGAGTTTGTGAGATCTCAGACCTTTGCATCCGTCCTTGTGTTCTTAACCGTGGGAAAAAGTGTGAGAAAATATGATCTGGTATAGGAGCATAATTCTTCGGCTCTTAAATTGACCTAAAACATTTAGATCTTTCATGAAGTCAGTCTGATTTTAATAAAAGGAATAGATTGATTGCAAAACATGGAGGGAAAAAAGAGCATTTCTTTTTAAGCCCTTTGGATGGAAAATGAAATCAGGATACACTTGGTTTCATTTTTAAATAAACAGCTACCCCTCAGACACAAAGGGTGAAAAAAGAAAATTTTTTCTTCTTACGTTGTGGTAGATGCCAGTTGTTGTAGATGTCATTGAGTGCGTTGCCACTCAGAGCGACTCTGTACACCACAGAATGAAACACTGCCGGGTCCTGCCACTCTCAATCATGGCTGTTTGAACCCATTGTTGAAGCCACTCTGTCGATCTATTTCATTGAGGGTCTTCCTCTTTTGCTGACTCTTTACCAAGTATGCTGTCCTTCTCCAGGAACTGGTCCCTCCTGATAACATGTCCAAAGTACAGGAGATGAAGTCTCACCATCCTCGCTTCTAAGAATCATTCTGGCTGTACTACATCCAAGTCAGATTTGGTTGGTTGTCTGGCAGCCCATGGTATAGTCAATATTCTTCACAAACGCTTAATTCAAAGGCATCATCAGTTCTTCAGTCTTCCTTATTCATCGTCCAGCTTTCACATGTGTATGATGTTACTGAAAATACCATGGCTTGGATTAGGTGCACCTTAGTCCTCAAAATGACATCTTTGCTTTTTAACACTTTAAAGAGGTCTTTTGTAGCACATTTTCCCTATGCAATATGTTTGTTTGATTTCTTGACTGCTGCTTCCATGGGTGTTGATTGTGGATCCAAGTAAAATGAAATCCCTGACAACTTCGATCTTCTCTCCATTTATCATGATGTTGCTTCTTGGTCCAGTTGTGAAGACTTTTGTTGTCTTTATGTTGAGACCTAATCTACACTGAAGGCTGTAGTATTTGATCTGCACCAGTAAGTGCTTCAAGTCCTCTTCCCTTTCAGCAAGCAAGCTTGGTTCATCTGCATATTGCAGGTTGTTAATGAGATTTCCTCCAATCCTTATGACACTTTCTTCATCTAGTCCAGCTTCTCAAATTATTTGCTCAGTATACAGATTGAATTAGTATGGTGAAAGAATACAACCCCAATTCACACCTTTCATGATTTAAAATCATTTTTTCTTATAAAATACTGCAATCAATTCCTCCAAAATGGAGAGCAAGAGTAGTAGCTACATTCATTAACAGCTGCTCCATTGCAGTTGAAGGAAAAAACACAATACTGTGGATATGATCTGACCAACCTTTAAAAAAAATGGGGACACTTTAAAGGCTTTGCATTTAGAATAAATCCCAAACGTCTTACTGTGGCCTCTAAACCATTGAGATTTCTCATCTGCAGGTGCAGTGGTTAAAGCCTATGGCTGCTCGCCTGAATGATGGTTGGAACCCACCAGCTGCTCTGCAGGAATGGCAATCTGCTTCCATAAAGATTACGATCTTGGAAACCCTATGGGGACAATTCAGTTCTGTCCTGTAGGGTCACTATGAGTCAGAATCGACTTGACAACACACAACAACAAAAATAATAATAGTATTTACCTCCAAGGATGATAGTGAAGAATAAATTAGTTAATATTTTCTAAAGGCTTAAAATTGTTGTTGTTGTTTTGTTGTTGTTCACCGTTGGGTTTCCGAGGCAGTATCACTACGGAAGTAGGATTGCCCAACCTTCCTTCCGAGGAGTGGCTGGTGGGTTTGAACCGCCAGCCTTCTGGTGAGCAGTCAAGTGCCTTAGGCACTATGCTACCAGAGCTCCTAAAGGCTTAAAATAGTAAGCAATAAATACATCAGTGTCCACTGTTATCATCATCATCACTTCCCAAAAAACCAAACTCACTGCGGTCGAGTCGGATCCAACTCACAGCGACCCTTCCTTGGGTTTCCGAGGCGGTATCACTATGGAAGTAGATGGCCCAACCTTCCTACCAAGGAGCGGCTGGTGGGTTTGAACCACCAACCTTCTGGTTAGCAGTCAAGTGCCTTAGCCATTATGCCACCATCGTCACTTAGTATCAATAATTATTGTATTTTTTATTCACCTAATAATCTATTAATTTTCTGTCTTCCACATTAGAATGAAATATTCACTTCCTGCCCTCCTATAGCTATCTTGTTCTCTCTGATACTCCCAGCACCTACCATAGTGCCTGGCTATCTGGCTATAATGAATGAATGGGACAAGTACATGCCTTCATCTATATGCTGTAGTTCTATTTATATTGCATTAACTCTCTTAGAATTAATATTGACTTACATGTATTTACATGTGAAATGATGCACCTAGGATTTCTTTTAAAATATTGAAGGGAAAAAAAGTTGGTGGAGGGATAGATGAAAAAGAATTGGCAGAATGTTGATAATTGTTGAGGCTGATGATGGAAATTGGCAGTTAATTATATTCTTTCCTTTCTCTATTTCTCTCTCTGTTTGAGAAGATGCATAACAAAAAGTTTAAAAAAAAAAAATTGGAAATGGGTAGTCAACTAAAGTCAGACTTTGGTGTCTTCTGGTGAATTGCCAAGCCACTATCTTGTCTTATTTGTCTGAGAATTTTCCTTAGTCTTGTCTGTACAAGGAATTGACTTTGAGAGAGATCTTATTTGTAAATGCTTTGTCTGGTAACTTTTCCATCAACAATCAAGGTGGCATATCTTTAGGGTTAAAAGCCCCAAGTCACTTATCACTTATCAGTGATATTTTTACATTTGACCTGTTGTCAGCCAATTCCTCATGGATTTGTTTGTTAATAAGCTTGTGCTAACTTCTGGGGACAATTTGAAATTGTAGTGGCCTCTTTGGGCAACTTTAACATAAACAAGAGTATTCATTTGTAACTGCTTTAGAGCAAAAAAAAAAAAAAAAAA